TTTAACTGCATTATTATCTTCAAAATCTAAGCAGTGTTTTTATTTATTTATTTATTTATTTATTTATTTATTTATTTATTTTTTCTCATTCTAAAGAGCCTCAAGCAAGGACTTCCTTTTGAAAGTCAAATGAATTAAGTTTAGAGGAGTTAGTCTTTTCTAAGAAAATCTGAAGAATCTGAAGTATTACATCAAAAGTGATATAACAAAATGATCACATGCTCTTGTATGCAAAAGCTATCTCTCAGTACCAGCAGAATATAACACTCATTTATGCATTCATGATGATGAACCATACTTTACATACTTGTATAAATGGTTGCTCAGCAAATAATTGTTAAAGTTACTGAAGAAAGGTAAGCCTATGCAATTATCTAATCTTGACAAAATTCAGTTAATATCCATCTTCTTAGGTGTATATAATAAGATGTTGACAAATCAAAAAAGAAAGTATCAGACATCCATTTATCTTCCTTATAAAGACTTCACTGCTGCCCACCACAGGACTAGTTCCAGAGCCAGTGAAATGACCTCTGAACCCTATTTTATACCAGTTTCCCTGTGGACTCTTCCCTAGGAATCATCTTTTAAGTAGGTGGAAAGAAGTGGAATCATCAAGTGGGTGTTTCTTTTGAGCCTTTCATAATTTAGTTCCCTTAAACATTTCTGTTGTTGGTCTCAGCCACTTTTGTGACTTCTTTAACCCTCATCCAAGTTCTTCTGATTTTGAAAGATGATAAAACCTGAACTTGATGACAGAGAGATAGTAAGCATCAGCCTTGTGGTCTTCAGCATAGGATAATGTGATTCTTTAAGACAGGCATTACATGGTACTCAGCTTTGAGTACCCTTCTGTGCTCATTGAAGTGCCCTCATAATGAGATGTGCTGGAAGTTCTTATAGTATGTTTGCTCTAGGAATGCTCTTGAATGCTTTTAGTGATTTTCAATCAACAATCACACAGTCCATTCTTTTTTTTTTTTTTTTTTTTTTTTTTTTTCTTTTAGTCTTTTGTCGATTGTTTTTTGACAGGGTCTTCCAAGTTACAGCCCACCTGGAAGTCATGATGTGAACCCGGGTGGCCTAGATCTCACAGAGATTCACCTGCCTCTGCCTTCCAAGGGCTGGGATTAAAGGCACACACCCCATGCCCGGCATACACAATCAGTTCTATTACAATCTAAGATTAAGCTTTTTCTCAGGATTTAGTATTATTTAAAAGTTTTGTCTTACATAACTATTGAGTATTTTTTACTGTCTTAACTCGGTCCTTTCCTCTTCATATTCTGTGTGAGAAAACTCACAGTGTGTGTTTTTTCAATTATTTTTGTCATACTGTAGTCATGATTAATTTTTATGCACCCTGTTTTACATGTATCTTTACATGCTCTTTCCCTGTATATTCTGATTTATCCTTGCATCATTCCAACAAGCATCTCAGTAGGGCTTCTTGTCTTTAATTTTCAGTTAGGTATAGTGTGATAGGTTAAGTAGCTTGTCCAAGTTTACACAGCTAAAAACTTGTGTTTCTAAGTGTTAGACCATGTATATAGGAATATATGTACAATGCAGATATAAGCCAGTATGGCATGTAGATTGGTTATGAGAAAGAGGGACAGGGATATGGCTTGATAAGAGTTACATGAGGTCCTTAAGTCAGGTATCAATATAATCTATGTGCCTTTGCCTTCTTAGAACTCTTAGTAATTTTAGATTATGTTTACTCAAAGTATTATATAGATTCTAATATGGTGCTGCTGTG